ATATATGAAATTTATATCCTAGAAGAGTCAGGCATAACTTACCACATAAGAGCCCACATGAAAGGAATGTCACAGAAGTGGGCTCAGACTCATGAGAGCTGGGAGAAAAAGGCAGGAGCTCATAGATAAGCACCTTTATTGGGGGCCAAGGTGGAGTACACCAGCCAAAGATACAAGGTTTCACTTGTGTGTTTAAATGTCATTAGTAGTCAACGGAGAAAAGATGGGAAACTAATAGCAAGGCCAAACCCACAACACAGGGCTGGCCAGATAGCTCAGTGGATTAAAATGCCTGTCTAGGAAGATGCCAGGGCCAGGGTTCAATACCCAGCATGCCATGCTGAGGTGATTGAGACTGGGTATGGTGATGCATGCCTATAATCCCAGCCTGGGAGGCTGAAACCCGGAGAATTACTACTAGTCTGATCTGCATAGTAAGACCCTGTAAACCCTGTACTAAATACAAAAACAAAAACAAAACAAAGACAAAAACCCTACAACACAGTACAGTGTATGGTCACTGGGTAAAGTGCTTTCCACCTGTGTGGGGCGGCGTTAAGTCATCTGGACAATCTGCAATTTTAAGCATTTGTAATACAGACAGCTAAGCACTTAGTTGCAAGCACTCCCAGTAGCTGAGGGAGTAAAGCTTTGTTTTCTCTGTAGAGCACTGATGGTCAACACTGTAGAGACTGAGTCCCCAAACGCATTTATCACAAAGTGCCAACACTCTTCCAATGTTCGCTGTCACCAGTGCTTGGCTGCTGGGTCATGCCCTGGTGTCTTGGCTCATGTGCTGACAGAGAGACTGTACATACGGCATACAAGCCATGGGCTCACCATCACTGCTGTAGAGGGTCATCTTGGTGATACATCACAGTGTACTCTAAAGTCCAACTTTCCTATTGTTTGGATGTACTTCTTTTATTTTTTTAATTTTTTTTTCCTTTTTGAATTTATTCAAGATCGCCTCCTCACAATTTACAGAGAGAATATACAAAACAAGAAACAAACTTGGTTTCTAATACATAAACAGTGTGCTGGAGTTTAAAGCACTACCGGTAACACTGCTACAGAAGAGCATCCACTTACTCCAGAGCACTCAGCATTCCTGAGGAAAAAACGTGATCTCTCCTGCTCTCACTGGGATGCTCTCAGTGTGGGTCACCGCTCCTGCTCTTTGACATATTTTCCCTGTAGAAGATATGGAGTCTGGAAAGCATGCTGACAGTCAGAGTAGGCTATCCCCAATCCCATGCCAGAACCAAAAGCTAAGGGCCACATTCTTCTTTTAAAGAAGGTAAGAGAAAAAATAACTCCTAATCCAAAACCAGTACCTATCTTCACGACTGCATCTGCCAAGTACCAGTCCCACTCCCTGCCATGGTCAGATTCCAGACATGTTCCCAGCCTGTGGCTTCAGCTTTCCTCATGGCCTTGGCCTGCACTCTGATTGCTGGCAAATCTCGCTTGGATGTACTTTTTTTTTTAAGCTCTAGAAGCAACTTCAGAATTTTAAGGAATTTTTCCTAGCGAATCTTAAAGAATGGAGGTAAATGAAACAAATATAGAAACTGGCAGTCTTGGACTAAAACTGACATCATTATGCTGAGCTACCTTCCATTCTAAATTCTTTTCACTCTAAACTAGTACAACTCTGATCTTCATGACTTGTCTGCCAAGATGTTAATCCCAAAATCTTCATGTCCATCCATGCTTTGTCTTTTTTTTAAATTTATTGATTGATTGATTGGTGGAACTGGGGATTGAACTTAGGCCCTTGCACTTAGTCTACTGAACCATCTCCCCGGCCCCTCATGGTTTGTCTTTTTGAAACAAGATGTCAGTCGTGGCTTACAGTTCAACTGAATTCTGTCCATATCTTACCGGAAGAATCCCCCCTTTGAAAAACAATACTTCTAAACCCTCAGAATCCAGAGTTACTGAGAGTAAAACTCCTTAAGTAGATTATTGAAAATAATGGTAGCTGGGCCCAATATTATTTCCAACTTTTGATCCCTAGACCAATGTATTCTACCTACTGGGACCGTATAAAATTTGATACCTTGGAGTTCAGCAGACCACACTCACAAAGTATTACTTCTGTGCTGACATTTTAATAGTATTATCAACAGGCTGTTCTTCAAATACTCTCCCATCACTCACTCATATAGGTTTTGAGTAATGTAGCATGTGATATGAATAGGGATCCCATGGTCATGTACATTTTTCTGCAAATTTTTGATGTAAAGGGCAATCCCACGCCGTTACAGCAGACATTCTGTACACCTTAAAATAGGAGCTCAAGTTCAGCCCCCGAAGGCAAGAAAAACAAATACACACCACAAATATACAGTGGTACCCTGGGTCACAAATTTAATTCTCTGCACAATTCTCATTGCAAACTGAATTGAATGAGAACTGAAAAACCTTCAATAGTTAGGTTCAATATGACCTTATGGAGAATTCTAAATTCAGTTCAACTTTGTCAGCAAACAAAAGAATTAAGTTCATGAACCATAAATATATTTATATATTGTGTACATTACATATAGAAAAATTATTTATTTATATATTATAAAATTATATGTAATAATATATAATTGCTGGTAAATCTCTGGCATTGGCCCTTCTATGGTGGAAGGGGCTCACTACAGTTAGTTTCTCCAGATATAGCACCATTCTGGAAACTAAGCACTGTTGACTGCTAAAGGATTTAGAGCTCAGGAACAGCACTGGTAGCCTTGGTTAAATCAGAAAATCTCACCTCTATCTTTGTTTCCATCACTAATTCATTTGTATAACTGTACCATTACTATGATTGTAGATTGCAATGAATGAGGTTAGTTGTCAAGTAGTTTTGGTCTATATGGTTGTTTACTTTTTTTTTATAATTTTTTTAAATTTTTATTTATTTGAGAGAGAGAGAGAGAGAGAGAGAGAGAGAGAGAGAGTGTGTGTGGCCAGCTCAGCCCACCAGGGGGCGGGGCTGGCTGGCATGTGGTGCTGGGGGATTGAACAGATGGTTTGCTAAGCTTGTTCTAAGTAGGTGCTTTAGACCACTGAGCCATCTCTCCAGCCATGTTTAATTACTTTTTAATGTTAGTTGTTTTCTGGTGTTAAATTCAATCTAAAGATCTCCAGTTTTTAGTTTATGTTTGTTTGGGTTTTTTTGTTTGTTTGTTTGTTTTTTTCCACTCCCTTGTATTGTATTATTCCTTTCTATCTCAGGCTACTTTGTCTCCAATCCAACCATTTTTTATCCTTTCAGGTCTTTGACCAACCAGTCAAGTTACTCACCTCTGTTCCTAAGTCTATTATCTTGAACTTGGGCTATTTCTCTTGCAACACAAGTGAATGGTCAATTATATCTCTTGCTTTTTTTTTTTTTTTTTTTTTCAGTACCAGGGATTGAACTGAGGACCCTGCACTTGCCAAAAGCACTAATTCTACTGAGCTATCTCCCCGATCCCCAAATATATCTCTTAAAGATCTTCCCATTAAGAGAACATTCCCTGATCACTCCTAAGCAAAGTGGGCCTGTAAATCAATCACATGAATATCAAACTGACCCATCCATGAAGCAAATATGCATTTTTTTCTCCTTCACCAACTGATCACCCATGGAGTTATGAACTAAGAAAAACACACCTGATCAACAGTAGTGGACAACATGGGAAAGTCCAAGCTACTGTTGCAGGCAGCCCAGTTAGATAAAAGCATCATAGGCAGGCAGACAGGGCCAGGCCCTCAAGGAGACAAAATGGAAGACAAGGTGGCTTTACAACTTGGAAGAGAAAGACACTCCCCTATGGGCCATACCTCAAGGCAAAAAAGGAAACAAATACAGCTACACACTTCCCTATGGATGGGCATCATGGATCGATATTCTAAATAGGTATCAATTACCTTGCAAGAGCCCTAATGAGTCACTAGCCCAACCCCCAACAGGAAGAGACCCTGTCCCTATTCATGCCCTCTTGCTAAGTGACTGGCTTCCCCATTTGGTCCTGGACTTAAATCAATTTTACCTGAGCAATGGTGCTTGTAATCTCATTGGTTGACCATAGTTTTGTCCCACCTCATTCCCAACTAATAAGTTCCCATGTCTTCTCCACCACCTCAGACCAGCCTCTGAACCGGAGCTACCTGCCCCCACCACCACAGGAGCTTTCTTTCCCTCAATAAATATATTCTGCTCATAACCTCCATTTGTTCCTAAAATTCATTCTTCGGTTTTAGAGAACATGAACTCGTCTAGGTCAGGTCTGGAGCTCATTTTTCCCCTATGTCATTTGGAGGTTCCCAGTATCATGTGGAGGTCACCCACACGCGATCAGTTTTTCTCCCTATATCTCTACCATTTTATGTAGCTAGCTTATTTCTGCTAGGCTTATTTGAGCTCAATCCTACACGTTGCATTTCCTTATGATGTATTAGTGCTGAATTTGCCTGCCCTTACAACACGGTTGACTCCATAAAAAACGATGACGTGCAATGACCAATACACTACTAGTTGGCATGTCCAGCGAGGGCTTGCAGACCCACTCCGGGAAGCTGTCCTTGAGCCCTTAAACCGCTTGCGGGCCTCCACTGGAAAAGAATTGGTCCAACGGGCTGTGGGACCCGGCGATCCGCACCTCGCCGCGGATATCCTAACTCGGAGTCATTTCCCGCACCCATCTCCAGTTGCTCCTCCCCGGAAACTACCAAATTCTCTCCGCAGCGAAGGCGGCTTTCAGACCGCAAGTCTTGACAGATATGAAAATAAACTATTATAGAGAATATTTACCGTTAGCCAGTTCAGGCACATGACAGAATAAAAACAGAAAGCTCTCGTGTTTAGTGCAGACTGCTTCCTAAAACAAAAAGTAACGTTGTACTTTCTCATGGCCGTGAAAATGGTCACTTTTATCTAGCAACAAGGACCTGTAGCCCCCAGAGCGCAGGCGCGAGCCTTGGAGGCCGCAAAGCACGCGAGATTACCCAGCAGCCCCGCGCGCTACGGTAGTGGGGCTAGCTCCTTCCGAGTGGGTCTGCAGCCGCCATGGGGAAGGTAAATGTGGCCAAGCTGCGTTACCTGAGTCAGGATGACTTCAGGGTCCTAACTGCGGTAAGCGCCTGCTTTCCCCCTTCTCCCTTGTCACTTCCTACGTTGCGTTTTTTCCTCTTTGCTGGGAGCTCAGTGGGTATGCTGTTTTCCCTGGGACATGGCGAAGACTGCCAGGAAATAAGTGATTTTCTGAACAGCTCTGGAGAGTCTGCTTTTTAAAAAGCTTTTGTGTAAGAGCTTATCGTCCCCCAAGCACAGCAGAAGCCCCCTCTTCTAATTATTTCCTTCCTTCGGCTATCCTTGAGCTTGGGGGACATTTCCACTCTGACTTGGGGGAACTTCTCTGACCCCTGGCTTCCCACCAGCAGAGGTTTGGTCCCCTACTGAGGAGAATTAAGGATAGACTAGAGCACTGAGTTCTCTGCGCACGAACTCAGTTGAGTAATGTTTCTTCTGATTCATTCAGGAAACACATATGTCGGATTTTTATAGCAATTTCAGGAGATTCGCAGAGCAGAAAACGTAAGAGGAAGAAGATACCCCTTCATCGTTAAGTAAACGAATGCACAAGCAAGATAACATCAGATAGTGCTAGGAAGATGACAAAAGATAAATAGCAAATAGATGTTTTGAATGAAGGAATGGGAAGACTGGTTGCGAGGATCTTGTCTGCCTGTTCCTGGTAACCGGTTTGCGCGCTCATTAGGAAAAAAAAAAAAGCTACTGCCCCTTGATACTATTTGCTAATTAAAAGAACGAATGGGAGACAGTTGCTGCAGGAGAAGCCAGCCGTGTGATATCTTTGGAAAGAGGTAGAGGTAGGGGAGAAAAGGTCTGAGGTTTTCCTCTTTGAAGAAAAGTCAAAATAGTTGGAGCTTAGTAAGACAGACACTGACAGAAATGGCAAGTGTGAGAGCTAGATCATGTTCCTTGCTATTCAGGCTTAGTTAATACTGGGGGGAAGCACTGAGTGTTTTTAATGAGGGAGTAACAAAAGCTGACCTTCTAGTAAGGCAAAAAAAAAAAAAAAAAGCTCCAATCACTATTACAAGGCAGTTGCAGAATAAATCAGTACACTTATTTAAGAGCCTTTTTTTTTTTTTTTTTTTTTTAGTAAAGAGTGAGCCCCTGATAAAGAATATAATGTGGAATACAACAGTATGTGCAGTATTAGTCTTAATGATTGTTGTATTATTTTAAGGCTTTGTGTTGGAGAATTTTGAAGTTAGTGGTAAATACACAACACTTACGGAGTAAGGTGTCAGATGCTTGGTCAGTATGAAATTGGAGCAGTTTTCTTTCTCATGTAGATGAAGGCTTTTAATACCTATTATCATCTCTAAAAGATACTTTCTTTACTTCCTAAGCACAGGTGAAGAGTGTTAGGATCTAGGTGAGGCAGGGGCTAAGTATAAAGTTGAGCTTAAAGTGTGAAGTTTTGGTGGAACACCAAAATACTTAATTTATCTTCCAAAACTTTAACTCTGTAGTATTTAAATTCTTTTTAAATCTCACCAAGAAATGTTCTCCTCACTTCATTGTAACTTCCCAGTCTCAGCTGAATCTCAAACAGTGTTAACCATTCCTTGACTTCCTTTCCCCTTAGCTGCTTTCGCTCCTTCTGTGTCCATTACATTGTTTGATTTGACTTCTGTTTACCTTTATGAATTTTCCCCAAATTACGTTCCCCAGCCCTTCACACACACACCCTCATTTATCTCTTGCTTGGTAATTACATCTACTTCACAATTCATTTTTCACTCCTGTCAGATTAATGCTTTCCTCTAAATATGAGTTTATTTCTAAGTATACACTCATCCTAAACTTTCTTTATATCCTCATTTGACTATATTCTTAAAGCAAATTCATCAGTTTGTCTACCCCTTTCCTACTTCTCCAAACTCCAGCAAAAAATAGAATTTGTGACTGTCTTCACTTCCAACTGTGACTGTTCTCAGCTTTTTTACCCTCCCACATCAATTTGCCAGACCTTCTCTGTTTGCTAAAGATCCTTAATTCCTTCTCCATGACTACTACTACTACCACCACCACCACCGCCGCCTCCGCCTCTTGACCAGTTCTGGTTACTGTTTCCTCTGAACTGGAATGTTTTAATTTTCTTGTTTTGCCTTTTCTAAGCTGATTTTCCTGTTCTTCTTAGGTTAGTGTCCTAAAAGGAATTCCGCATGTCAGAATTTCAGTGTCTTCTAAAGCCTAACAAGTGTCTTCTTGTCTTTAAATCCATGAACTATATGTGCCATCTCATACAGAGTTACTGCTCTATGTGTTGCCTGTTCCTTGTGCTCAGAACTTTTTGTGTATGTACCATTTCCAAATTTTTTTTTTTATATCTCCTTGTGTATTTCCTCTCCAAAGTCAGCCTAAAGTGTTGTTTCTTCCTTAAAAGTGATCTTGGCCAGCCAAATAGCTTAGCAGATTAAAGCACCTGCTGTGATTGCTTTGGTTTGATCCCTAGATCTGCTGTGCTGGCCCCACCCCGGGGTGCGCTGAGATGGCATTGAGACTGGGTGTGGTGGCACGTGTACCTATAATCCTGTAAACAGGAGGATCCCTAGGAGTCATATCTGCATAGTGAGACCCTATAGACCCTGTACTAAGTACAGAAAAAAAAAAAAATCTCTTGGCTAAAAAGGTTGGACCTTGAGCTACTTCTTTTAGTTCTCCAAGAATAAAGAAATTTATTTATTTACAGAACTGGGCATTGAGCTGAGGCCCTTGCACTTGTCAGGCAAGCGCTTATTCTACTGAGCTATTTCCCTAGCCTCTAAGAATAAAGAATATCTTTATGGTTTTGTTTGGTTTGCTTTTTCATGTTTTACCGTCTACAACTGTAGTGCCTTAGCATAAGTCTTATAGTATTTGCCATGTGCCATTCACTTTGTCAAGTGCTCACAATTCCTACCCTGGAAGTGAAGCAGAGAAACAAGGAATATCTGAACAGGGAATATATCATTGTAACTGAAAATGTTGAAGAAGGGAGTAATAATGTTCTACAATTATAGTTAAGCATTACATAACATTTCTGTCATTAACATTGCATCTATCTGTAAATCCTGGAAGATTACATTGTCTAGTATCCTTAGTACTTTCTGATCATGTTTACACAAGGTCAGAATTGAGCATTGAAGCATTTCTTAGGATGTATACCTGTTGTTAAGCTACCTATGACAGCAGTTGATGGGCTACATGATCAAGAAAGTTTTGAGAAGTTAATTTCTTAGAAAGATTTTGCTGTTGTATTGTATAGTAAGTTATTGTGTTGGTGACTTCATACAGTCCCTTTAATTTCAGGTTGAAATGGGCATGAAGAACCATGAAATAGTTCCCTGCAGTTTGATTGCTTCTATTGCAAGCCTGAAACATGGTGGCTGTAATAAAATCTTACGAGAATTAGTAAAACATAAACTGATAGCTTGGGAACGTACCAAAAGTAAGTATTTTAATGTATCATTTTGAATTTTCAGATAGTTTTCACCCAGAGCAGTTATTCATAAGAAATAGAAAGTGCCAGACTAGTGAAACAATAGACTAAGAAGTAACACAACATTCTGCCTTATTGTTTGCCAAAAAAAAAAAAAAAATCACAGTGCATCATATGGTATCTGCGCTCAACAGTTTATTCCAGCTGATGTGTTCATGGACCAATGCAGTAGAAATTCAGTAGCTGGCATTGTTAGTTTTCTTGCCTTTATTTTATGCATGTTAAACTTGCTATTTCTATTGAAAGAGTAATTTGTTTTATTTTTTGAACACTGGTTCCTTTTGGTGTAATCTACAATAATAGTGTGTTTCTTCAAAAAAAAATCACAGATCCCACTAGATTAAAGAGGGTAGAGAAAAGAGTAGCAAATTTGTACTGCAGAACAGCCTGTAAGGTAGAGATATTTTTGCTGCCGACTTTGGAAAATTCAGCCTGTCACAGTACTCTATACTAGAGCATTACTTTTCCAACTGTCTGGATGGTGAGGGACGAGTTTTGAAACCTGTCACAGAGCTTTAGTTTTATAAACTGTAATAAAAATAATTACCAGAAAGAGGAGAATAACAGACATATCCAAAAACTGGCATAAATTCTTGGTCAAATCAGTATAAAAGTTTCTGAACTTAAATACTTCCTTGTAGTTTCTATATTTATCTTGTCACAGACAAGATTTATAGATTGATGGCTATCGGTGGGTCATACTTTGAGTAACTGTACACTAGACAAATGCAGATTATAGAAACATTTTTTGGGAATATGTAAGTCTGAGTAGTTTATTTATCCAGCTAAGACTTTCCACCTTTAAATTCTTACTGATTTGAACTGCAGTGATGTGTCCCTACCATGTAACTCATATCTGGTCTTGTTCATCTGTTTTTGTCTAGCTGTCCAGGGATATCGGTTGACAAACGCTGGCTATGATTACCTAGCTTTGAAAACACTTTCTTCTAGACAGGTCGTCGAGTCTGTTGGAAACCAGATGGGTGTTGGCAAAGAATCAGGTGAGTCCTAGTGGTCCTTGGAAGTGTTTTCTCTACTTTAATTTATATTTCCCCTTAAGAAAGCATTCCTCTTCAATGTTTTGCAACTAAATAGTAAATTGAAAAGTTGGTTGGAAGTAGAAGAAATTATGAGCATGCCATTAATTTAGTAATTATTTTATTTCCCTAGTCCATCACTGAAAATGCAGTTATACCAGGAATTGATTTTAACTAACTACTAAACTCTTTGGCAAATATTTGTTCTGTTTTATATCTGAAAAATTGTGCATTTATAGTAGCTAAAATATGTACTATAAGGAAGTAATACAAGACAGTTAATATCTTTTTGGGGGGTACCAGGCATTGAACTAAGGACTTTGTGCTTGCCAGGTGGGCACTTATACTTGCCGAGCTCTCTCTCCAGCCCAAAACAGTTGATATCTAAAAACCAGAAACACATTTTGCACCACAGTTGTATGATCAGAAAGTCAAAGATGAGTATGTTTATAACATAAGGAGGAAAAAGCATTCTATGTTTTTTATTGATTTTATTGAGAAACAGCAATGAGTTTCAAAACAGGTTACTAGGATAGTTACACTAATTAATACATTGCATATTGTTGTCTTTGTAGTAGTTTATTCATAGTACAAGATGCAGACATCCTTTTCAAACACCATCAATACAAATCTCATTGAATTAAGAGAAAGTAGCCATTATATATATATATATATACACACACACACACATGTACATACATATATATCAATGTTCATTTATATCCCCCTTTTTTGTTTAGTTTTGTGGAAAAAGCATTCTAAAAAGCACTGAACAGATACTTGGGCATAATTTATGCTCTTAGAGAAGACTGGTACAAAGAATAAGTAATGATTTTCTTTATATCATATCTTCTCTACTGCTTTTTACTGTATGTAGTTTATGTATTCATATAAACTGAGAAAACAAAATTAAACTTGTAAATAAAAGAATTAAGTCTACCCTAAAGATTTCTCTGCTACTTTATATGATTATGCTGTATATTTAGAAAGCTGTGCTAAAGTACTAAATAGAATATTTGTGTGTGTGTGTGTGTGTGTGTGTCAGTGTCAAATACATCAGTAAAAGTATCAGATACTGCAGGGTAGGCATTTTTTTTTAATTTTGTTTTTGTTTTTTTGCATGCAATACAAACATTATTTCTTTTGATTATAAAATCATGAATTGACTCTTACAGATTGAGAACCAGGTCATAATGAAATAATTCAGTTTTAGACGAGTTTGGGTGCGTTTGTTTTTTTGGGTGTGTGTGGGGGTTTTTTTGCAGAGGGAGGGAAGGGTCTCAAGGGTGTTCAGGGTTTCACTATTAGTTTGGACTCATTGATCCGCCTGTTTACAGCCAGCGTCCCAAGAGCTGGGATTACAGGCGCACACCACCACGCCCAATCTCAGTTGCTGTCTCAGCATGCCCTGAGCCTGCTTACAGGTGCTTTTAATCTGCTGAGCTATTTGGCTGGCCTTAAAATTTTAAGAAGTCTTTATTTTTTAATTTTTAAGGAATTATTTGCATGGCAAGATGATGAGTAGTATGGCAGAGAATGCAATAAAAACTAGTCTTATTCCTAGCCTTTGTCTCTTTCTCCTTTTACTGTATCTCAGTGCTAGCAGTCTTTATTTTTTCCTATCCCTGTGGAAATTTTCTGTATAAGTACATTTATATGTATTAAGAATCTAGGTAGAAACACTCATACCGTTTTAATCACAAGTGAAAGCCAATAGTGTTCACTCTTTGCATTTGACTTGAGCTTACATGATAGGTTCTTGGTGTCATTTCACAACATTGCATATCTTTCTCATAATGGCATGACATCACTGTATGGTAGTGATGGCAGTGTGCATCCTTGTGTAAATAAATACTGCTATACATTCTTGAAATAGAATCACTGGGACAGCCATTAGGTGTCTCAGGCTGCTGCCTGCAGCAGAATACCACGGATCGGGTAGTTTAAAACAAAGATGTAGTTCTGGAAGGTAGAGGTGCGATGTCAGGGTTTGGTCTCTCCTGAGGCCTCACCTCAACTGGCAAACAACTGATTTGCTGTGTTCTCACTTGGTACATCTTCCTTTTCTCATACGGATCTAACTATAGATGAGAATCTTACCCTTTTACTTTTTTCTTTGATTACCTCTTTAGAGGCCCTGTCCTCAGTTGTACTGGAAATTACAGCTTCGGTATAGGAATTTTGGAGGCACATACAATTCAGTATATAGGAGGGGGGAAAGTACTTAAAATTTAAAGGCATTTAAAGTTTTGATTTACCAGGTTTCCCTCCAAAATGTTTGTGTTCATTTGTAACTTCATGTGTGACAGTCTTTTTCTTATGAGAAGTAATTAAAATTTCTTCATGAGTAACTAGAATGTGTTCTGAATGCCACCACTTCAAGCAGCAACTCGTTTTGTAGTTGAAAAACTGCTTATTAGAAGATTCTTCTAGGATTATATTCAAACAACTGAATCGCATTTATGAAAGCAATTGAATTGAACTTAATGTCTTTGACAAGGAAGATATTAAATCACTTCTCTCACAGGACATTAAGGAATAGATATATCGCCTCCAAATTGAATGGTTTTTTGACATATATACACAGGGGCCATAGAACATCTTGGAAATAGTAATTTTTGACCACTAAATCTGTGATTTGGTTTCTGGTTTTTTTCTTTGTTTGTTTGTTTTTTTAATTTGTTACAAGGTTTCACTATGCAGCTCCGACTCCTAGTGATCCTCCCGTCCCAGCCTCCCAGCTCTGGGATTATATGCGTGCACCCCTATGCCTAGTTTCAGAGCTGACGTGGAGCATCTGGGGTTCTGGCATGCAGTGCCAGGAATCAAACTCGCATCCTTCTGCTTGTTAGGCAGGCACTTAGACCACTGCGCCATCTCCCCAGCCTCTTATTTGCATTGTAGTTTACCTTTATATATATTGGTTTATAAAGTATAATAATGCACAGGAAATGAGTTGTGTGCCAAATATATAATAGGAAAGATGACAGATTCAAGAAAAGTCAGATAAAGTTAGAATTATTTTAACTTACTATAATAAAAGTATAATAATCTTTTAAAACTTGATTCCAGATATCTACATTGTTGCAAATGAAGAAGGACAGCAGTTTGCATTAAAGCTTCACAGACTAGGAAGAACCTCCTTCCGAAATCTAAAAAACAAACGTGATTACCATAAGCACAGGCATAGTGTTTCTTGGCTTTATTTATCTCGTCTCTCTGCAATGAAGGAATTTGCTTATATGAAGGTATTTTTTGTAATGCTTTTACATTGTTTAATCAAGTAGTACAAATAGCACATTTTTCAACCAAATAGTACAAAGAAAGACCTTCCTGATAAGCGTCTCCCTCACCTCTGGCTCAGTCCCTTGAGATAGTTGCTTTTCATTCTTGATTATTTGTTATATTTCTAGTGACTTCTTTGTAGTGAGGTATTTTGAATTGTTACTGATGCAGATTTATATGGTAGGTTCAGGCTATACACTGAAAATGTTTGGATTTTAAAAATTGTTTCAGTAAGTGATATATTGCCATTAATTCCCTTTAAAATACTCCCTTAAACACACTCAGCCCATCATTTGTGCCACTTCGGGAAGCCATTCTAGACCCCTCTTTAATGAATGTTTTCATAAGATATGATTAAAGATGAGATGAATGATGCTGTCACACACCGTCCATCCGAAAGGCAGCTGTGCAAAGTAAGGTACATCCTCATCTGCCTTATTCACCAGACCCAGGGCTGTGCCACTTCTGGCTGTTGCCCAAATCAAAGTGACCATGAAAGGTAAATGTTTTAAACCAACTCAGGACATCAAAGGAGGCATGATGCATGTACAACCAAAGACATTCACAGAAGTGGCAAGAACAGGGAGATAAGTATGTTTGAAGCAAGGGAGACTGTGTCTGTGGGGGATTAATGGCTATGTGTCGTGTGTGTGTGTGTGTGTGTGTGTGTGTGATTAGGAATCAAACTTGGGACCTTGTGCTTGCCTGGAATGCGCTACTTATGCTGCTGAGATACATTCCCAGCCTATTATAATACATTTAAAAATTGTCCAATCTCATCATATTTGGGGACCAGGGAGATAGTTCGGTAGAGTAAGCCCTTGCCTGGCAAGTGCAAGGGCCTGAGTTCAATCCAGTTCTGCCAAAAAAAAGAAATTATTCATCATATTGATCATTCTCATTTGTAAGTGCTGTGTAATTTCCATCTGTTGGAAACCTTAGTGTCCCAAATAAGTAGACAAGCATTTTTCTTTAACGTAATGGAAAGAATGTTATTTTGCAAATTTGTATACATATCAAAAATGATAAATAAAAAAACTCAGCTTTTAACTTCCTTTATTAGTTTCAATGTAGATTTTTTTTTCTTAGATATTTTAAATATTATGCAAATGTCTTCAATACCTAAATTAAACAAAATTACATTGTGTTTGTATTCTGCCTTCTAGGATGTATAATTTTCTTTTTTTAATTTGAATTATCAGCACAAATTGAGTTCAGAAAATTTGTCTTACTGAAAATTGAGAGTTCAATATGTTCTTCAAGCAGGCTACTTTAATTCATATGAATAAATTTTTAGTAATCAGATTTTTTTTGTATTTTATTTAGTACAGGATATACAGGGTCTCACTACACAGATTGAACTCATAGTGATTCTCCTGTTTTTAGCCTCCCAAGTGCTGGAATTACAGGTGCATGCCACCACGCCCAGTCTCAATTGCTGTCCCAGTGCACCCCGGGGGCAGGGCCAGCATGGCAGGCCCCAGATCGAACCCCAACTGCTGTTTCTGCCTAAGGAAATGCTTTAGTTCCCTGAGCTATCTGGCCAGCCATCTGGAGAATTTTGAAAGCAACATAAATAGGTGATACTGGTATTAGATGTGTTATGGTGTATTTTTTACTAAAAATTTATATCCAATGAAATTTTATCTACAAGTAAGCAGCCTGGTGTAGGAATGATTAGAAACTTTTCCCAAACTGTTTAGGTGGTTTTTCAGGGTTTTTATATTGATCAAACAGAAGTAGAATCTAGTTAACACATAAATATGCTCCGTAAATACACTAGTATTTTTATAATAGTTGAAGAATAAAGAACATTTTAATGTATGGCTGCTGTGATATAATTTCTAGGCAGATAGATAGTGTTTAAGGTTATCACATGCTGTTAAACTGCAAACACATCTTTTTTGTTTGTTTGTTTTTTGGGGTTTTTTGGGGTTTTTTTGTTTTTAGATAAGGATCTACAGGTGATGAGGGTCTCACTACTAGATCGGACTCGTAGTGATCCGCCTGTTTACAGCCTCTCAAGTGCTGAGATTACAGGCATAAGCCACCACTCCCAGTCTCATTTGCCCTCTCAGTGCACTCTGGGGGCAGGGCTGGCACCAACATGGCAGGCCCAGGATCGAACCTGTGCAGGCCCCTATGCCTGCTTGCTGACACTTTAATCCACTGAGCTATTTGACTGGCCCCTTAAACTGCCAACACATCTTCAAAATGATGTGCATTGTAAAAACGACTCCCTGAAAACAAAGTAATGAGAAATTTCTGGGGAGTGGGGAGTAGTTGAGTTCTGTCTACCAACAGTGGGAAAGTCACAGTGAAGTGCACAACCCCTGGAAATCAGCTCCTAGGATGAGATGAGGTGAAGGAAGGAATGAATACGAAGGGAATAACCACACTTTCAGAGTTGGGGAAATAGCATATACATAAAACAGTGCCTTTTAAAATGGTGTTTGTGCATATGAGTGATAGAGTAGTAGGTTTTATTTTCGCATATCCACACATTTATTCCTCCCCTCATAGCCGTCTTTCCCTTCCCCTTTCCCAGATCCTGTTCCTTTGATAGTATCCTTTGGTTTTCCTGTCATCTCTTTTTAAAATGTTTTGGCCATTATTGACTAAATTGAGTTTTTTAATGTTAAGATTTTTGAGTTTTTTGTAAATTCTCTGTCAGAAGACAGTGTAGCAAAGATCTGCTTCCATTCTGTAGGCTGTCTCTTCACTCCTTTGGTTGCTGTGCAGAAGCTTTTTAATTTGCTGCAGCCCTGTTTGTTGATTTTTTTCTCTTGTTTCCTGTGTTGTTGGAGGTCTCTCAGGAAGTCTGCCTGAGCTTATGATTTTTAAGTGTTTCTCCTTTTTTCCTGTTCCAAGGTTTTAGGTCTTATACCTAGGTCTTTATTCCATTTTCAATTGGTTTTTGTTTAAGGAAAAATACAGGGAGCAAATTTCAGTCTTATACAGTCAGATACCCCGTTTTCTCCACACTATTTGTTAAAGAAACTTTTTCCTCCAGTGTATATATTTTTGGTCACTTAGTTAAGAATCACATGGCTGCAGTTGTGTGGGTTTGTTTCCACTTATTCCATTCTGTTTTGTTGGTCTACGTGTTTATTTTTGTACTATTCCCATGCTGTTTTTGTTATCATGGCTTTGTATATTTTGAAATCGCACTGTCTTATTTTGTTTAACATGCTTTCCAGCTCTGGCCATTTTCCTGCACTGCTAACCAAGAGCAGGTTTTTTTGTTTTGTTTGTCTTTTTGAGATAGGTGTCACTATGCAGTTCAGTGTGGGCCTGAGCTCGCTTTGTAGCACAGGCTGCCCTTGAACTCAGCTTCCCAATTGCTGGGATTACAGTCATGTGCCACCACACCAGGCCCAAGAACTGTTTTTTTTTAGAAAAAATTAATATTTTGACTTCAGATAAACTTAATAGAGTAGCTGATGCAGTGGTCTTTTGAAGTAAGAGTTTAGTAGATTCATCAAGCTTGGGTATGATGTGACTATAAAGAAAGGACAGTGAGCATTGGAAAGGAGCCACTGTGGGCACAGTGCTGTGTATTTAGGGGACACAATTATCTGTCCTGACTGCCCTTTAGGGAACTTAATGAATACAAAAGTATTCTAGTGAAATACTCAAGTGTAAATGGCAAACGCTTACTAACATTCCAAATGAAAGATTCCATAAATGTAAAGTATTTTGAAGGGAGTAACAATCAGACTTCTATAGAAGGAACTAAGGATGTAGGAAAAGATAGCTGTATGGATGATCTAAAATAATATTTGACTCAGTGCCACAATGTGTTTGTCATAGTAGATTTATGATTATATATCGTGCTCTGGAAAAGTAAGTTGTATACAAACTCAAATGTCTGACTCTGAGATGTTTCTTTTCCTGCTATGCAGAAGATAGTGTCTTAAATCATGATTTGTTTTTATTGGAATATTTAAACCACAGGCCAGCAAATGACAAAGACAAAATAGAAGTGAAATAGCCTGAGACTGAGCTTAATGAGGGCTCATTTTTGTAACCCTAATGAAGTGCATAATCAGTAAATGTTCATTTTTGAAGGAAAAGTAAATTCAGACAAACAAGTTTAAAATTTGTTTTTGTGTACAGCTCATTCTTGTGATTAATAAGCAGTGCAGAAATAATCACGTTGTGATTTTTTTTATATATATATATAAAGGGTTGTGTGTTTTTCCTCTAGTTTTGGGATGTTACATTTATTTTGGTTTTGTTCTTTAAAAAGTAATAACCTCTTCACTAGCTCGTTCCTGTTTTGCCATGTTTTAGGCATTACATGATAGAAAATTTCCAGTTCCAAAGCCTGTTGATTACAATCGCCACGCAGTGGTCATGGAGCTCTTAACTGGTTACCCGCTGTAAGTACTCACTGTTCTTGGATGGGTCCTAGTGGGTGAACTTCCAGTTCCATTTTACTGAATGTGTTTTTCTTTAATTCATAGAATGTTGCTTCTGAAAAGTTAGGAATTGACTTAGAGGAATAGATTCTAAGGCAAGTTGAAAACTCAGTTTAATTTAGTTTGGATTTTGTAATCTCTGATTCATTGATTCAGTACTGACTGAGTCTCTCACATGCCAGGTTGTTTTTTTTTTTTTTTTTTGTTTTTTTTTTTTTTTTTTCGGAACCGGGGATTGAACTCAGACCCTTGGGCTTGCCAGGCAAGCGCTTATACTACTGAGCCATCTCCCCAGCGTCACATGCCAGGTTGTTTTAAGCTCAGCAATAAACAAAACAGTCCTTGCTTTCATCAGATTTACATTTTGATGGAAGAGATGTGCTTCAAATAACCAAGCAAGAAAATAATAATATATGGAGTGTATCAATAAGTGCTGTGGATAAGAGTAAAACAGATAAAGGGGATAGAAACACCTAGGTGGGAATAAAAGATTGCCATTTTGCATATAATAGGAAAAATTATTCATAAGATGAAAATTTATGAGTGCATAAAATATATGCAGGTATCTAAAAGATACTGCAAACAGAGAACAGCAAGTACAGGCCCTGGATGAGAGCATGTTTGGCAGCCATGCCTCTATGAGTGACTAAGAAAGGGAGGACATGGTAAGTAATGACATCTCCAGGAGAGGTGGTGGCCACTTCACTTAGGATTTGTGGACCTGTATAAAGAATTTTAAATTCAATTCGAAATAGGAAGTCATGAGACTGTTCTGAGCTGAGAAAAGATGTGGTATAATAAATGTCTTTAAAAGATCACTCTCGCTACTGTTATTAAGAATGGATTTATAGGAAACAGAAATGTTAGAAACTTAAGTTAGACTATTGCAATAATCTAGGCAAGAGATGTTAGTAGCTCTGATCTCAGTGATAGTTGGGAAAATGGTACAAAGTGCTCAGGGTCTCTATTTTACAGGTTGACCAACACAAGTTCCTTGCAGTTGGAGTTGGATGTGAAGGAAACGGGGAGTTGGTGATGGTTAGATTTTGGCCTGAGTGATGATCAGGGAGGAAACCCAAAAACTAAGTAAAGATGCATTTAAAGGAGGGGAGAGAGGTCACCTGCCTAGAAATGATAACCAAGGATTTAGAAACATAGAATTCACTTGACAGTCTCAACAGGCAACATTTCATTGGGTAAGGTGGATGGAAGCTTGTTTGAATTGGTTGATAAGAGTGAGAGGACAAGAAATTGGCAAGAGTTTGGCTCTGAGAAAGATTAAAGAAAGGAGGCTATAGTGGAAATAAGATACAGAACTAAAACAGTATGGCCTTTTAATGAACATGTCATGCATGGTCATGGGAATACAGACGGTTGCTAGACAGTACAAATAAAATGTGTGTACGCACACCTATTTTCGTTAAAATCTTAACATGTACAAATAACCTATTGTCATTGTTAAAATCCTTGCAGATGTCAGATACACCATGTTGAAGATCCTGCATCAGTATATGACGAAGCCATGGAACTAATTGTCAAACTTGCAAATCATGGGTTGATTCATGGAGATTTCAATGAATTCAATCTCATACTGAATGAAGATGACCACATCACCATGATTGATTTTCCACAGATGGTTTCAACTTCTCATCCCAATGCTGAATGGTAGGTGCTGGGATTGGTTTGTAGATATGGGCTGTTTGTATGTGATGAGATCTTTTTACTCATAATTTCTAATTTTATAACAGTTTTTAGTAATTGTTTTGAAGTTGCAGGTTTTAATGTTCTAGTTTTTTTATAAAAGAATATACTATCATTATAAAATTTCCACCATTAGACTCTTTTGCATTCTTTAGTATTTAAAGTGGAAACTGTACTTTGATCCAATTTTTAAACCTGTTTATAAGATTTTTGCTGTGTATTGGAAATCTGAATAAATTTTCTGATTTTATTTATATAAACTGTAAAGATAGTAACAAAGAAATTTGAATTACTCTATGAGGCGTCAGACATTCAAGTCAAAGTTTTTTAAACTTGATACCCTTTGTCCAAAAAGACTTTTAGGTGGAAACTCAATTTTTAAAGTAGAAGTGGAGGGGCCAGGGAGATGGCTCAGTAGAATAAGTGCTTGCCTGTCAAGCCCAAGAGCCTGAGTTCAATCCCCGGTTCTGCCAATAAATAAATAAATAAATAAATAAATAAATAAATAAATAAATAAAGTAGAAGTGGGGGACACCCTAGAACACTACATACTTTTTGTCTGTCTTATTTTCTCTTTGCTGCTGGTTACCTTCAAGAGACCGTCACCAAGCATAACTCTGATCGTGGGTGGCCGTGGTAGAAATTGTGGGTTTGTACTGGACATAGTTTCCAGACAAATCAAGATTATTTTTAGCTTTTATTATTAGAAAAGAATCCACATAAAATTTCTTCTGTAAAAATGGGGAAAAATGACTTTATATATTGTAATAATCATGTTCTTAAGTGGTTTTTTTTCTCCCTGTTCCAGGTTTTATGAGAATTTTTTTTTTTTTTTTTGCGGAACCAGGGATTGAACTCAGGCCCTTGCACTTGCCAGGCAAGCACTTATTCTACTGAGCCATCTCCCCAGCCCCGAGAAACTTCTTTTTCATGAAGTAGCAAGTGGTGTCACTTATGTAATAGTATGTTTGTTCTTGTAAAGTTTGAGCTCAAAGCAGTTTATGTTAAATGAAGCTTGTCCTCTTGGTTTCCATTAGAAGCTGTCTATACTTAAGTTAGAGAAAGAAATTTAAAGATATTTCCAACAAAAAATACTAAAAGATTAATGGCACTTGTGTAGTCTGTACTCTAGATATTCTGTTGGCTAATCACCATTTTTATTAATATGGAATAGCAGTTACACTAGGGAACATTTGGGAGCCACCAGTGTGGAGAAGGGACTGATGACAGACAGATTGTCATATTCTGCATATTCTTTGGCGAGGCATTGTGATTAAATTTCTATGTAGTGGGGCAAAGGAGTTGTGCTAAGAGCTAGAAGTTAAGATGTAAGTAAGTTAAATCTCTGCTTTTGAAAAAGATACTGTCTATTTAAGAAATGTGGACTTACATAAAATAAAGTGATAATTTTTAAATATATGAAGATTTTCCCCAGGGCCCTGAGGGCATAATGGAGTAACATTGTCTAACTTCATCTTTCTCAAAATAATGCAGTTAAAATTTCAAGAAGGTGGTCAGTTTCATTTCCTCTTGTCCTTACCTGTCTGTAGGTGAAGAGCTCCTAAAGAACTGAATCTGGAGGGGAAACAAAAGAACTGAATCGTTCTTGCTGCTTTGTAGTGGCCAGAAAAGACCTGATGTTCAGTCTTCTAAACTCTCAGTCCAGCTTAACATGTCCTCAGATCATTATTTATAAGCTGCAGCATTACATATGTCTTTGAGTGTTATGGGTAGTAAAGATACACAGTCTCCAAACTTAGCCTTGCGAGTCATTGATCTTGTATCTTCAGCTTTCCCACCTGGCAGAGGGTTCTAGTAGGGGTTGCTGATAGGAAGCTTCCCAGATAGCCTGAAGTGGAGACTTGCCCCCACCCCAACCGCAGTCGCCTACCCTGGGTTTGCACTCTGCCTCCCCACCCGCAGTACATTCTGCTATATGCTGAACAGTTCTGTGAGAACCTCTGCATTTCTAACCATAGGTATGAGCTACGTTGACATATTCGAGTTTCCTCCTGTTTCAGTTTTTTCCCAGTACACTGGTAACAGATTTGTACTTCCTTTCTTTTATGTAACATTTTTTTTCTTCATTTCATGAGAAGTATCATAGTAAGGATATTGTCATTAGCTAATTAGGGGGAAAATAAAGATATTAAAAATGATTTTTTTTTGTTGTCTTTGAGGTATTTTGACAGAGATGTTAAATGCATCAGAGATTTCTTCATGAGACGTTTTGCCTATGAGAGTGAGCTTTATCCAGCCTTTAGTGATATCAGGTTTGTACCCAGCGTTGCTTAAAATGATAAGACCCCTAATATTTAGCTCTAAAGTGTAACACTGTCGTCTAAAGTATGTTCAGTAGTGATCTTTGCCACATTATAGTTGCTGTTAACACTGATCTATAGTATATCAGTGAAACTGAAAAATATAAACATACTTGTCTTTAGTCCACAAAGGCACTGCTGTTAATTTTGGGATAGAAAATATATGCAGTTTCTTGTAAGTTCAAGAACTTCTATTTTGGATGTTATGGGAAAATCTCATTCCTAAGGAGTCAAACCGTATTATTTTTTTTTAATTTGTATTTTTTATTCAGAATAGAAATTATAATTGATTCCTAGGACATAATTGTACATTCTCTAAATTAAGTCTCTTTCTTGTTTTATATGCTTTAGGTATTTCCTGATTTGAGGTGAAGTGTAACTTTTTAAAACTTTATTTCCCTTTGAAACGTCACTTAGCAAATTAATAGAAGTTTTTATAAGTTTTTATTAATATGTTGTTTTTTATTAAAATGATAACAAGCATTATCTTTTGTAGTTATATATTTAAATACTATGTTTTAGGCAAAGAAAAATTATTTCAGCTCACCTTGAGAATCGCAGTTTATCAGAGTAACAGTGTTTATTCATCTCAAGTGGGTGCATTTTTCTCTTGCAATACTTAGCACTTTTCTCCCCCCAGGAGGGAGGATTCTCTGGATGTCGAGGTTTCTGCCAGTGGCTACACAAAGGAAATGCAGGCAGATGATGAACTCCTACATCCAGTCGGTCCAGACGATGCAAGTACTGAGAGAGAGGAGGAAGCTGCTTTCTCCTTTTCTGATGTTGAGCTGTCGGAAAAAGCAAACATTTGTAGGTCAGAAATTGAAAGTGAACAGAGTGCTGCAGATGACTCAGGAGGCCGCTGCTGCAGCTCATCTGGAGATGGTGAGCCAATAGAAGACAGTTCAGAAGAAAGTGCCCACGCACACAGCTTGGCAATGGCTGATTTCAGTCAGCCCTCAGAGGAGATAAAAGGGCATATTTTTGAAAACAGCTGTACAACTGAGTTTTCTGAGAATGGAACTGAGAAGGACTCCATGCGGGAATGCCAGACAGGTGGAGGAGGAATCCGTGCTGCCTCCGAGGAAGATGAAGATGACTGCCCTCGTCTTGTTAACCTGTCGCTGAAGGAAGACTTCAGGCCTTTCAGGTAGGTTTCTGTTGTTTCCTGACTGTAGTCTTCAGACTAAGACTGTTTGATTCTACTAAGTGACTCTTAAAAAAGAAGTGTAACAGTTGTGTTCTGCTATCCTTGTGTGCAAAATGAAAATCAAAAAATCTTTCTCTTACTAAAACAAGTATTTTCAGTCTCAGTTGAGGTAAATCAAGGAAGCCCGTTCTCTAAATTTTAGTTCTGTGTTGAAATACAAAATGACTTTCAAAGAATTAAATGTAGGTCTTGATAAAATTATCAGGTTTTAAATGAGTGTATTTTTCTATTTACGTGTAGTTTATGTTTGAGTTACATAAGGGAATATAAATACATGAAGCATGCAGTTAATGTTCTTTCCATGTAAAATGTCTACAGCAGATTTTCCCTGGTATTTCTCATTGTCCCACTTGATTCCCATACTGTTAAAACTATATAATGATATATTTTCTTCTGATATTTTGTCTTAACAAATATTAATCAGAGAGGGCCGGCCAAATAGCTCAGTGGATTAAAGCGCCTGCAAGCAACATAGTATCTGTTGTCCAACCTGGTGGTGATATTGATTAGGAGCTGTAGCAAAACCATGTCACTTTTGCCTCATTATGTAGTTGAAAATCTTGTCACACCATCTTAAGTCAAGGACAGAATGTGAGGAATCAGGTTATGTAGGATCTGTAGTCGTCAAGCTGGAGTCCCAGTATAGCCAGGGCTTACGATCTGTGTGGAGCCCAACGCCCAAAAACCAGGAGAGCCAGCAGTGAGTCTGGAAGCAGAAGACAAGTGTCCCACCTGAAAGATAGGCAGAAGTAACCAAGTTTTCTTTCTTTGTACGTTCGCTTTTTTGAACTTTTCAGTGAATTCGATTGGGCCTACCTATGTGGGGTAAACAGTCTGATTTATTCAGCTTGTCAATTCAGGTACACCCAGTATAATGTTTAAATAAATATGTGGCACTGTAGGCCCCATAAAGTTGACACATAAATTTAAACGTCATGATAGTAAAAGAAAAATCAGGGTTAAATGGTCCTCTAAGTTGTAAGCAGGGAATGGAAGTTCTGTATTTCCATTTTCTGGGCATGAACTCAACAAAACTTTCGTTATGCATAGTAGCAGTAAAATAGATGTTCCAAAAAAATGTTAATATTTTCTGAGTTCTTATACATTTTTAAAACTGATCAATGTGGAAAAAGAAGTTAGTTTCCATGGTTTTAGAGTTTTTTACTATCTCGTCGTATCATTCCACCTCTGTCCCCATTCTACCTCATATTTGAGAAGGTGGCGAGAAAGTGTTGCAGACATTTAGATTGTGAGGCAGATTTATGTAGTTAGGTAAAAGAAAAGGAGAGGTGTGGTGGAAAAAAAGAAGAATTGTGAGGCAGTGACAAATTTTGGTGACTGAGATAGTTCGGAAATTTTGATAGTGACTTTCAGAATGTCAAAAATGAAAATTACTAGTATCTTGAGATGAATTTAGGTAATTTTACCTTCAGAAATTTTAAATATCTTTCTGAAGTATGTTGATGTTATGTAGTCAGAGAACATAAATTAATGCAGTCAGGCATGATCATAAGAATTAACTATCAGTTTTATGGACTTTTTAAATTTTCTACTAGAGATGAAGAAAATGTGGAAAATATCACGCAGTCTAGAGCAAGAACTCTGAGTGTTACTTCTGCAGGCAGTGTTGTAAGCTGTTCAACAATTCCTCCAGTAAGTATTTGTGCATTTACAGATGTTGATTATGTCACTACTGTGGACTGTACTGTGAAGATTACAAGATACTTTAGGATATTTGGACCTTAATATGTTAATTTCAGAAATCATAAAAAGTAAAAATTTATTAACATATGAGAAAGAGTTTTCTTTTAACTAGAATGGTCAAAGCTTCTAGAGAAAAAAATGGTGTATAAGTTAGCTTGAAATTGAAGGCGGGAGGGTCTGGGGAGATGGCTCAGTAGAGTACAAGCACAAGAGACTGAGTTCAATCCCCGGTTCCGCCAAAAACAAACAAAAAGACAATGGCTGAAATTGAAGGCGGGGAACTACCCGGTCAGGCCCCTCTCCTGCCCCTCTCTTGGACAGGAGCTTTCTTTCTCTCAATAAATATATTCTGCTCATTAAAAAAAAGAAATTGAAGGGTAAAAATCATAAACATTTTAGGTCCAAAGGAACTTAGTAGATTTTCATGGGTTAATCCTTTGACTTTACAGTGGGGAAAGTGAAGTGCAGGCAGGTTATATGACTTTTTCCAAGTTATATACCTAATGACAGCAGTGCACCTTCACAAACTAGTTTTTCCTTTTCTTTCTTTCTTTTTTTTTTTTTTTTTTTTTTTTGTGGCCTAAGGATCCAACTTGGGACCTTGCACTTGCCAGGCAGGCACTTACATGCCAGTGAGCTATCTTCCTGGCCCCAAAAGCTAGTTTTTCATAAAATATGAGAGAGAAAAAGATAGTTTTACCATTTTTGGTATCTAAAATGTTTGTTGGAGTCTTTGGACATTTATCAACAATGTTCAAAAAAAAAAAAAAATCACAAAAGAAAAAGGAAAGCAAAACAGACAGTATGTGTGAGTGTGCACACAAGATAGTTAATGCCATTCTACTAATTTCTCTTAATTCACTGAAAAGAAAAGAGGTTTGTTCTAATATTGTTTGGACAATTAAATACCTATATCTTGTACTCTTGAGTAGCTAATTTAAAGATAACATGCAATGTGTTAACCATTGTTACTCTGCTATTGCTTTGAAATATTTTTTACTTTTTTTCTCTTTAAAATAAAATTGAAGGGGCTGGGGAGATGGCTCAGTGGAATAAGTGCTTCCCTGGCAAACATAAGGGCCTGAGTTCAATCCCCAGTTCTGCAGGAAAAAAAAAAAAATTGAAAAAGAAAAGAGGGACTTTTTTTCTGAACAAAAAGCAAAAACATTCTAGCTCCTCCTAAGAAGCATTTTTATTTGCCAGCCTTCTTTCAGAACTACCCAGAAGGAAGAATCAGTTTAGAAATAATCACTCTCTGAAAGAAAAGCCAGTCTCACTGACCTGTGGAAGTGTTCTGTCTCCTGCTTCCAGACCTCAGCATTGTAAAGCTATATATGCCACTACTTAAGACTTAGGAACAACATAAATTCTCTGTCCAACATTAAGAAAGTAATTTTATCACTTTTTTCATTAATTAAAATTCCATGATTGGTGCATTGGATTTTTTTTTTCCTGCTGTTTGAGATGAGAATCAGTGCAGCCAGAATTTGGTGATAACTTTACTTGTGAACAAAAGAAGAAAATCCATTGAGAAAGGAAGAAAGGAAGCTAATGAAATGATGAGATAGAGTGAATTCAATAGAATATGAATAACTTCTTTTTCCTACCTTTGTATTCCAAGTTCAGAAATAGTCTGTAAATTAAAATGTGTGCTATGTGGTTGATAGTATGGGATGTTTACCAAATTAAAACTGTCAAAAACAAAGTTAGACAAAAGTCCTGTAATTTATAATATACCATCACTTAGGGCTTCACTTCATCTCAGAAACATTTAGATCTCATCACACCAGTAAGATGGTCAAATTCTAGAAATGTAGTTGCTTTTATATACACTTTCCGAGGGTCAGGATATTTCATGATTTTTCTTTTTTTTTTTTTTTTATTGTAACTGGGGATTGAACTCAGGCGCTGGCGCTCGTGCTTGCCAGGGAAGCGCTTATTCTACTGAGCTATTTCCCTAGCCCCCTTTCTGAGCAATTTGAAATCTATGAAGTTTTGTTGTTGTTGTAGTTGTTGTTGTTGTTTTGCGGTACCCGGGGATTGAACTCAGGACCTTGCACTTGCCAGACAAGTGCTTATTCTACTGAGCTATTTCCCCAGCCAGTTTATATTATTTTTAATAGCTCTTCTAAGTTATCAGCCTATCTTTATTATACATTTCTTACCATTTAGTACCAGCTCTTAGCTTTATTTTGATATCTGCAGGGATTTGTTTGTGTACCTTTCTTGGAATTCTCAAGATCAAAACTTAATTTTATGTAGCTCATTAGTGGAACAACACTGATAATTGCATATAAAAAAATTAGATTACTAATTTATGCTGTATCCATGCTTTCTAAAAAGATGATGGTGCTGACATTGTCAGAGGCCAAGTTAAAATTGTGTTTGCATGTAATTTAATCTAATTCTTTTTTGTGTCAGAAATTGGACTCAGAGGGGCCGGGGAGATGGCTCAGTGGAATAAGCACTTCCCTAGCAGGCGCAAGGGTCTGAGTTCAATCCCTGGTTCCGCAAAAAAAAAAAAAAAAAAAAAGAAATTGGACTCAGGACATTGTACTTGCCAGGCAGGCACTGTACTGCTAAGCTATATCCCCAGCCCTAATCTGATTCTTACATATCTCTTAGAGCTAGCAAAGGAATTTAAAATTTTAATATTGTTAAGTCTTTAACTTTTACACCTTGGGTTTCATGAATTACATTATAAAATATAAATTTCTGATAAAGAAAAAGATCCATTTACCCTATTCTCTCTAATTATTTTAAACAAAATTGGCATATCAAGTCTACATCCTTTTAAAATTTTTATCACAGTTTTCCTTAGAGGTCATGTGCTAATTTGTGCCTCCAGTTCAAGGCCAGGTTAAGCTACATAGTGAGTTCAAGGAGAGCCTGAACTGCCTGGCAGCAAGACCCAGTCTCCAAAAAAATTTTTAAAAAAGAGAGAACTTTGAGGGCCCGGGAGATGGCTCAGTGGAATAAGCGCTTCCCTGGCAAGCGCAAGGATCTGAGTTCACACCCCGATTCCGCAAAAAAAAAAAAAGGAGAGAGAGAGAACTTTGGTACATCCATTAACTTGATTGTTGTTTTGTAATATATACAAAGACAAAAGTTTTACTTTATGCTCTTTGAAATTATAATTGCAAAATCATTTTCTCCTTAAAGTATTTCTGTAGTTCATATTTGTTGGCTGTTTGTAAATTCTCCTTAATACATAACAAGTTATACTTCAACAAAAAGATATGCTGCTTTTTAGTAAATATGAATGTGGCTACCACCTACTAGAACTTTTTTAACTAAAAGCATGATTTCCATTAATTTTTATGTGCTCCCTAAAATAACACACAAGTATTTGATATTCACATTGTACCAACTTCTAGGGCATACTAAATGTAATTTTCCTTTTTTTTTTTTTTATAGAAAGTGATCTCATAAGCTTTATAAGTTGTAATTTGTATGGCAGTGTTCATATTAATCCATCATTTCCTTAGTTCGCATTGTATAATTATTTTATAATCTCAGTATGAACAAGTGGAAATTAGAAGAAAATATTGCCACCAGCCCCCAACCTCACCCCACCTGCCTTGAGCACACTGTAGTTTGGCCTCTGATTTGGGTTCCACTCTCATTAGTGTAGGAGGCACTCACAGTTCTGAACAGTTTCCTGGGGCAGGGTAGAGTCTTAAAACTTAGCCACTTCTGTTTCCAGTTCTTAAGTTGGTAGACTGCCAGGTGGCTCAGTGTTCTAGGCCATCCTGAGTTTGGGAAGTAGTACCACATAGAAACATCAGACACTGTCAGGTCGTTTCTACAGCTAAATTGTGAAGGTATTCTTGGATATTATTGTCAATAATAAATGCCTTAATAAAATGGCTTTGTATTACACATCCTGTCTAGGTGGGCATGGTGGCACACATGCATAAGCCCATCTGTTTGGTAGACTGAGGCAGGAGAGTGATAGTTGTAAGGCCAGCCTGGGCAACTTTGTAAGGAGGGAGAGGAGGAAGTTTTCAACTTGCTTTTTTACTTCAGTTTTCATTGTGAACAGCAGGTGGCACTATGATGATTTGTTATTTAAGCTAATGTTGCTTAACACTATCCTTTTTTGTTGTATAATTTCTCTTACGAATTTCAAATTTTATCCCTTTTTATTGTTTTACTTTATTGTTTAGTGTATCAGTGAAATTTTTTAACATTTATATCGAAAGATACTATCAATTAAATTTTTGTTTTAGTGAATTTCTACTCCTTGGTTATCAGTGATCTAATTTATAAAATCTCTCTAGGAATTAATAAAACAGAAGGTGAAACGTCAGTTGACAAAACAGCAAAAGTCAGCTATCAGACGTCGACTACAGAAAGGAGAAGCAAACATATTTACTAAGCAACGGAGAGAACACATGCAAAATATTAAATCAAGTTTAGAAGCATCCAGCTTTTGGGGAGAGTAATACATTAAGATATTGGCTATTTCTATTCTGTATTTTTTCAAGTTACTATAACTATTTTCAGTGTCCTTGGTCTTTTTTGGACCAAGGCCAGTATGTAAGTGTGTAAATAAAGCCATCTTTGTAAACTTGACTCGCTCTCAATGGATTATGCAGTGGTAAACTTGGCTGGGTCCGCTTGTCTTGAGAACTGCCGTGGGATTGATGAGCGGCCTTCTGGATGTGTCCAGGTGGGTCCCCGAGGCATGACTGTGGTGTCTGTGCCCCAGCCCTCCCCACTCCTCGCTGAGGCTGCTGCCCTGCTTTGCTTCGCTACCACAAAGAACTGAGCATCTTTGCTCCACCGTCCCCTTCTGCCACAGTGTTCGTTGGAGCCTGCTGATCACAGCCCATATCCTCTGAGACTGTGAGCCAAGTTAAACCTGCCTTTGCATTGTGGGTGTCAGGTGTTGTGTCCAGGAGCAAGAAGGTCAAAACTGGTACCAGGAGTGTGGCATTTGCTGAGACTGTACTGACCATTAGCTTTAAGCCTTTAGAACTTGTTTGCAGGGCCAGGGAGATGGCTCAGTGGAATAAATACTTCCCTGGCAAGCACAGGGGTCTGAGTTCAGTCCCCAGTTCCGCCAAAAAAAAAGGACCTGGTTTGCAGGACATTTTGGAAAGGTTTACAGTTGATGTTAGAGAAGCAGTAGAGTGCTATATGCAGAGCCAGATGGGTAATTCTGGTCAGCAGGTAGAGGACCAGAATACTTAGAGAAATGCAGACAGTAAAATTCCAGGCTTAGGAGGTTTCGTTTGGGAATGAGGACTTCACTGACAATTGGACTGCAAGCCATGTGTGTTACACTCGAGTAAAGAATTGACCAACGTCCTAAAGCTTTGTGAGAGACTTAAGATTAAGGACAGTGGAGTAATGGATGTGGCAGAAGAAATCTTAATGTAATCCACTGTGCAGGTAGTGGCATGCATAGCTGACTGCCTGTAGCCAGATTGATGGTGCAAATTGATCAGCAAAGAGCAGGAATATTTGGACATAAATTTTGGCCCCAAAGCAGTCATACAAAGTTTTCTGAGGATATTAACACCATTAAAAACCAACTACCTTTTATAAGGTCAAGAAGGTATAGAGGATATCTCAGAAATTAGTAAAACCACATCTTATCAAAGGCTCAAGGTGCACATGTGAAAACCTTTCTGTGAGAAGATGGCCCCTACAAAACCTACTCAGAAAGGGGTGGAGGGATTGTTTTTCCAAGATCCATTTCGCTGTGCTCACCCAGGCACTTAGCCACTGTGCCCGTAATTCAAGGGGCCCTGCTTCCTGCTGCTGACCACATACATACCTTGGTATCTACAAAATGGTGATTTTACTTGGGGGCAGAATGTAAAGTGGTGGGCCAGCCAGATGGCTCAGCGGGTTAAAGCGCCTGCTTAGGCAGCTGCAAGGGCTGGGTTTCAATCTCCTGTCTACTGTGCCAGCCCTGCCCCCAGGGTGCACTGAGAGGACAGTTGAGACTGGGTGTGGTGGTGCTCACCTGTAATCCCAGTGCTTGGGAGGCTGAAAAACAGGAAGGACTGTTACAAGTCTGATCTGTGTAGTGAGACCCTGTAGACCCTGTACTAAATACATTTTTAAAAAAAAGAATGTAAGCCTTGTGGGTTCTGCAAGGTTTCCATCCAGATTTCAAAGGAAGGCCTGGGAGACCAGGCAAGGAGCCCCTGAGGGTAGTGTGTTACACTATGAGAATGAAAGCAAAGGTGGAATGTAAACCCCAGGGACTTTGAGATGTGGAATATCTGCTGAGGAAAGCAGAAAATCATGAGTTGAACCACCCCAAAAGAGGCTTCGTAAGTGCAACCAGCAAGGCCCTGGGGTAGGGCTGCTCAAGGGCTGTGGACCTCAGTATTTCACTATCTACCCTGGGTGCTGGACATAGAGGGTTTTTTTGTTTTTTTTTTTCAGAACCGGGGATTGAACTCAGATCCTTGCGTTTGCCAGTCAAGCGCTTATCCTACTGAGCCATCTCCCTGGCCCCTGGACATAGAGCTAAAGAACTTAATATTTGCCCTTCAAGGTTTTTGCCACATCCCATGCAGCCCTTCCAGTGCCTGGGATGGAGAGGATGGAAAAAACAAGTAAGAGACAAAAGCTGAGGTCTGGAGGAGCCCTCTGGTTGGGAGGGAAAAAACTGCTCAACCACTGTAGGGGTGGTTTATACATTTGACAAAGTTGATGTCCTGTGGCACAGCTTTGCTTAGCAACTCATTGCTCGGATTGTCCTGGGGCTTGGTGTTCCCTGGGCTGAGCAGTTTGATCACGTGGCTTACCTCAGGTGCTCTTTGTTCTCTGACAGGCCTTGCCTCCCCCCAACAATATCCAGCTTCAGCTGCTCCCTACAGGTTTTGGTCTTTGGCCCTATTTTCAGTCATCATATTCCTCCTTTTTGGAATGAGAATGTTTACCTTGTGCTGTTATACCTCGTCATTATGTAACTTGATTTTCGTTTTGCAGAGCGTCACACCTTAGAGTTTGCCTGGAGTATCAGAAAAAAAATTGGGATTTTGAAAAATGCTGGAACTCTTGAAATGTGGGAGAGGGATTATTGTGTTGTTGATTATAGGCAGGATGGTTGCCACATGTTGGTCAAAATTACTAACTTGTTACTGTGTTCACTTGGAGATTGCGTGTGGTTTAAAGAGCCTGGTATCAAGTTGGTGGGGTGAAATATGCTTCTTCAGCTTGATTGGGTCAGTGGGAGTTGGGAGCTGCCCAGATGGATGAGGCTGCCTGCTGGATGTGTTGTGGTGACTCATGAAAGCATGAGTTGGGCGCAGGTCTACATCTGGTCTCCCACCTTTACTGGTGCTGCTCCCTGCTGTGCTCTTGGCCTCCAGGAACTAACATCTTCACTCTAGTGGACTCTAGGACCATGATATTCCTGCCTTGGAGCCTGCTTACCAGGGACTGGACCCCTAAGCCAGTTAAATTTCTCCTTCAAGTTGTGGGTTACAAGAGTATTGTGTCCAGCAAAATGAAAGCTAATATATACGTGCTCTGAAGAATTATGAGAGTTCTGCAAAGCCAATGCAATTTTATTTAGAGAACAGGTGAATCCACTAATTTTTTCTCCAAAAGTACTTTTTTTATTTATTTTTTTATTTTATTATTATTATTATTATTATTATTTTTTATTTTTTATTTTTTTTTTTTATTTATTTTTTTTTTTTTTGCATAACTGGGGATTGAACTAAGGCCCTTGTACTTACCGGGAAAGGGCTTATTCCATTCAGCCATTTCCCCGGCCCTCAGAAGATACTTACTTAGGGGTATTTGCATACAGTATTTCTAAAAATCTCATTCATTGCTTTTTATTGTCTGTTCTCTGCCAAGAGCAGATAAATTACCTGGGTTCAAATTCCAGCTTTTTCACTTATTAGTTGAAACAACTTAAAGTAAGGTATAGCCTTCTCTTCCTCTTCCCTGGCTGATTTTTCTCATTGTTATAATTGGATTCACAACTACTTTGTACAGTTGTTTTAAGGTCTACATAAGATAAATGCACCTAAAGCTGTAAGACCAGTACCTAGCAAATTATAGACATTTAATAAAGCATTAACTTCAGGGAAAGTCATTTTTTTTTTTTTTCCAGAACTGGGGATCGAACTCAGGCCCTTGCGCTCGCCAGGCAAGCTCTTATTCTACTGAGCCATCTCCCCAGCCCCTTAAAGCGTTAACTTCAGAATAATAATTGTAATGACATTTGTATTTCTTAAATTCTGCTAACAACTCAGTTTCTTTTATTTGGCCATTGAAAAGGTTAACTGTCTTTTGGGTTTTTAGTCTTCAGAAGTAAGACTAACTTAATCGCAGTTTACTTCATCAGTTAATTAATGGATTACTCCATAATCTCTTTGGTGCCACTTACCTCAGCAGTGTGGTCATAGGAACAGAATCTTTACAAAATCTCATCATGGTGTTTACAGTTGAAAGCTTTATAGAGGCTTGAGTAGCAGTGGAAGAATTCAGGGCCAAAAGGGGCAGAAAGAATGACTGAAATATTCTTCATTTTCTTACATTCGTGAGTCCAGGTCATGTTTTCACCTCATGGTTAACAAGTACATACTGCAGGAAATAAAATTCATAAGCACTTGTCTCTCCCTTAAGGCCTTTAATATTCAGCAAGATACAAAGATGGGTGTGTAAGTACACGAACTGAGCAAGTCTTCCACGTTCCAGAATCGAGGACTACAGGGTGATCACCTACAGAGAACAGAGACCACTAGGTGGCAGTGTCCCCCATGAGATTTCCATACATTATTGCTTCTGGGATTATATCAGAGGGAATATTGTAGATGCTTTTCCAAGATTGATAGATGGTAAGTTCTTTCCACTTTGCAAAATGAACTGTACTGGCTATTTATAATGTAATTATCTAATAAGTTCATGTGACTATATAGATACAAAACAATGTCAGATTCATTTTCTATGAAAATTAGACTAACTGGGCCAGGGTTATAGCTTAGAGGCATAAGCACCTGCCTGGCAAGTGCAAGGCCCCAGGTTCGATCCCCAGGACTGGAAAAAAAAAGATTGAAAATTAGGCTAACTTTGGAAATATTTACATAGACCTACTTTGAGTTTTAGATATGCTTTTAAGCTCAGGTATTCATTTTTATACTATAAGCATTTTATAACCTAAAGTAACATTAAAAGCAGATTAATTGAACCACAGAATGTTTATTTTGGAATATATTTTCTTATATTCAGAGTGTTGAAAGCAACTGGGAATAAAATGATCATGATGTCATCCTTCTTGGCTTCACACATTGACTTTTGGGCACCTACTACATAAAAGGCTGTCACTGTTTGAGAAGCTGAGAAGGCAAGTAGGCCTGGGCCTCAGCTTTAATGTTGCTGTTTCTTGTGGGCCACAAAGCTAACTCAGATCTCAAAAGGAGGACTCTTTTGGCCAAAGATTATTTCTAGCTACTGAAGACTTATAAGTGATATATTCAGGGATTTAATATTCTTCTGAGGTATGTGCATTTGAAAACTAGGGTCCAGTCACAATAGTTATTTGAAAAGATATTTTGGGGAGTAATTAGGAGTTAGAGAATTTGCCTATCAGACTG